AAGTGATCGGTAATTTGATGAGACATTGATAACATTATTGACAGATTTGCCGATGAAAATTTTGTCGATATTATTTTTTATTTACCGATCGAATGTTTTGTTGGGAATTCTATTGATAATTAATAATTAATAATTAAAGTGAGACCAGCAGCTTACGTTCCTTAATTTGTTTCACTTATAATATTATACTTACTATTTAATTGACAGGATCATATACATGTTTCAAAGATCTAAAATATTATTTTGAATAATTTGAAATTTTAATTTTTTATATTTAATTAATAGAAAAAGTTGATAATGAAAATTAATGATCACCTGATATATAAAAATTAATATTTACTTTATGCGATGTGATAACCGTTAATTCCATCATCTATGCATGATCACTAACTTCAGTATTTATAATTTTTTCTCATAAAATAAAAAAGTTAAGATTTTAATTAATCACAGCTATATGATTTCAGATTAGCGAAACCAAATAGTATACAACGCGCAAATGTAAAATCTTAATTTGGGCACTTAATTTAACCAAATAGTAAATAGATTTGATAACAAAGAGACGAGTGGTGGTGTTAAAGGGCATTTAATATTATAACAATTTCTCATGTCCATAAGTAAACGGGAAGGAAGTTGAAGTTCCCATGTACGTCCACCACGACCCCAACATGCAACCACAAGTATATTTAAATCCATTGGAAAATAATTCTCAAACTATGATTCAATCTTACTTTATGCTGGTTTTTTAAAAAAAAAATTTGTAGTCTTGTTTTATTTATAGGAAGTTTGCATGTTTCGTAAACTCGTAAGCTGAGTTTTGGTGGAGACCAGGATCTCTTCTATTCCTTGTTGTCTCTGATTATAATATAATTATTGGTATAATATTTTCTACTTTTTTTTGTGAGGAATTATGTTAATATAACCTTCTAATTTTGCCTGGTTATGGAATTTTATTTTAATAAAAGTAAAAAAGAGAAGAAAAGCTTCTGCAAATGGGGTTTAAGCAAACTCAAATTATATGGACCATGCGGAACGTAAAAGGCCGAAAATAATTGCTATGGAAGTGATCTATTAAATGGCAGGCCAGTCCTAATAAGAAATTAAACCATTTTTACATGGGCTATGGATTCTGATTCTGGCCCATGAACTGAGTCGGAGTCACCTTCCACTAACCCCCCCCCGCCCCCCGAGCTCTAATCCTCGAGACAAAGAAAACTGATAACCATCAAGAACCAAAACCTGAAACGCAAAGATTCGATTTGCTCTTTTGTTATAGGGAGCGAAAACAAAACTAAAGCAGAATCTCCGACATGGATTTCTCAGAACAAGATATGGATGTCTTCGGAGAAGACTATAACAACAACAGACAACCCGTCGCGCAAGCCGGTACAGACAAAGATCATGAACATGTTTTTTTTATTAAATAAAAAAGAAAGGGAAGAGAAGAGATGAAAGTATACCCTTTGCATCCTGCTGAAATATCAGCCTTAGCCACCGCCAGTGAAGGTTATTTAACGATCGTTGCTTGTTACTTAGCTGACTCACTTGGCTGTTTTAGTGTTTACGTGTCCAGGCTTTTCCTTGCATAATTCAGTTAACTGACCAGTTGGCATTTACAATATACATGTCCTCTGTGTTAGCATTCTACTTAGCCGGAAGATCTCCAGCCCGCCTAGCACACTACTGCCTCTTCCTTCATTACTGAAACTATGATCTGGGTTGGTGCTTTCCTCAAGAACGCAAACTTCATCCAGTTAAGTGATCTCTGGTTATGTTCTTCATAATAACCATATAAAACATAATTGAGATTAAAATCTACATTATGTGCTATCTTTAAACTACAATTGATCAATTAGCATACAAAAACCAAACCACCTATTTTACAAGAAGATGCCAAAAACATGACAAAACAGACCAATTACGAAGTTAATACTATTAGTATTTAATGATTAAAAAAACAGTAGCCTTAGAAACAAAAGAACCCATGACGTAAGCCGGCACATACAAATTAATATCATGCACGTGTTTTTTCAAAAAAGAAAAAGAGTAATGGAAAAGAAGAGATGAGAAGGTATATCCTTTGCGGAGATCTCTTCCACTGTTTTGACATTCGAAGGTTCGTGGAAACTAGCCGAAGAAGCCTCCAGAAACTTCAGTGGGGTTTCGGAGATTTGGGTTTCTGTGCAGGGCTTATGCTGTCATTTCAACCTGGGTTTTGAACCCAACCCTTGTTTGTCTTCAGTCTTCTCTGTGAGTGAACCCATACTTCACAAGTTCATCATCAACAACAATAATATTTAAAATGAAATTGAAATTCCGTATTAACTTTATAACATTATTTGACAAAGTTCTTGAATTTCATCTTCCTGTGGTAGCATACCGTTTGTTTTGATTTTGGTTCTTGAATGGATTCTCCTTTAGATGTTCTCTATTTTTTTGCGGTTCTTT